TTTAATGTACGTGCCTTCAGTATCTGACCATGGGTGCTCCCTGCTCCTGGTAGAAGGACATCAAGGACTTTCCCTATTTTCCTTCCAATTTTAAGTCATGTCTCCGCCGAAATCCAGTGCAGTGGAAGATTTAGAATCTGTACCCATATTTTTATCTTCTTCTTAGAACTCTATCTGAGACGGATTCCAATTTTTGAGAAGCAGATACTGACCGTCGAAGGACCATGTTTTACCTCTCTGAATCCTGTCCCTATCTTCTTCTGTCTGAAAGATAAACTGGAATTTGTTTGCTCCCAAACTTTGAATAGTGAACGACTTTTGAGTTTCCCAGATTTTTGCAAGAGTTGCATTCAGACCGTTGAATTTTATTCTTTTCTCTTCGTAGCATTTTCCAATTAAGCTTAATTTGCATTCTGCGAGTCCCAGAAAAATATCAGAGTTTGAAAGTTCCACTCGATCGACTTCCTTGTCTGATATTTAATTTTGAGCATCATGTCCGATATTTCTTGTTCCATGATTGATCTGAGTAGAAATCCCAAAAGATCGTGCTCTCAATCCCAGTGGATCCCTCCAACGTTACCTGGATAGAGGATTCTCAGCAGAGAAGTACGATTAAAAACCCTAGGATCTATGAAAAGAGGAAGAGAATGAGGGTCTAAATACAAGAACATACAGGATAATAAAATATGAATAGGAAGATTAGAGGAATTTAGAAAAGGAAGAATTGAAGGAAGGATTGACAGAACAACGATAAAGAAGAAACCCTAAATGACTATCCAACTCCTGGAACTGAAATCTCTAAAAAGAGAATTTTTTTTCTCAGAGCGAGAACTCTGCCATACCATTTATTCACCCTACTTGAATTGTAATGGATATATCAGATTCACATGTTCATTCAATATTCTTATGTTACTGTTACAAGGTCCACACTGAAAAGCCAATACATAACAGAGATTCAACCAAAAATTTTTATTTGGAAAATAACAAATTTTTAATAGGGAAATAAGATCAAGAAACTATTTTTATGGGTAAAGCATGTCCAGTTTTGAGCCTTTTATGCCTTATTTATGGCCCTGTGCACTACCTACACTGAGACGGACGCAGAATTTAAAGACAACAAGGGCACAACTGCGGTCAATGGTCAACATCAGAGGTCAATGGTCGAATCAATATTTAATCAATTAAAAAATATTAAAATTAAATCTTGATCAGACACCTTATTTCTTATTTAATAGCTAAATTTGAGTCTCACATTATTATTTTAAAAATATAGACACATTTGATCTAATCTTATATACTAATGTATTACTAAAAAATACTTCAGGGCCCGGGCCTCTGTGTAGCTCCGCCAATGCCTACACAGTCTACAGCTCGAACCATATCCAAAAGAAAAAAAGGCTTGGGAACGATGACGCCATTAGCTAAAAGTTCCATCAAAATAATAATGAAAAAAAGTAAGTAAAAATGGTCAGATGATGAACTTTTTTAAAATGATTTAACAGATCAAATTTCCCAGATAGCCATAAGACTGATCAGCCGACACCAAATTCCCTGCTTCTGAACCATGCAACAAATCGAAAAAAACACAACGGCTAATTTCCTTCTTGTTGCCACACGATCGAAGAACTACAAAAACCTTGAAATTACAAAAATGACGACTAAGCCTCAGAAGTACCTTGCAACAACTGTTGTCACATTGTGCTGCTGTACACGCACTGTAACTTGACCGCCGGCACACCTCCAACTCATAGCTACAAAAGCAACCCATGAGGTTTCACTTTTTAAAATACAACCCAGCCACCTTCCAAAATTGTAACCCCATAAATCTACAATCTGTGAAACACAAACACATCCCGGGACATGTAGGAATTTAGGAAAGAAATTCCTGTGTTCAAGTTTCCTTTTTTCTTTTCTACACGATATACACACATGCATAGGCTTTTTTTTTTCTTGAAAAGATGAAGCCCATTTTTTTTTTCTTCAAAAGGAACTGAACCCCAAAACAACAACATTGTTGTCCTATTTACACTGCCGTCGCCTAAAATTATCATCGGACAAAAGGGACACTAAAAGCTCTCTCAACCTCTCAGCCCCCTCCGCAGGCCTAAGAATCACGGTACTATTACCCATAAGTAAACATGGATCAGACCCATTCCCTGGAACACCCAGGCACCAACTTCCCGGCACGAGCATCCCAGGCCCACGGGACAATAATTCTGTATCTATTCGGTCGAGCACCAAATCATGACGGTGAAATTTCCTCGCAAAGGGCGCATTGCTTTTGACCATCCTCCGCATGTCATTGAGGGTAAGATAGTGAGGGTGCTGCTTTGGAGGGTTGTCCCACGATATGAAGTGAAGGTCACTGTTGACAGTTGTGTTGCGGAAGTCCTTGGAATTACAAATTACGGTGTGGAAATAGCCTTCGGGGGAAGATAGGAAGTTGGCATAGTACATCAGAACTGTACGTGGTAGGCTGTCCCACCCCCTTATGCAGTAGTCAATGAAAGGCCGAGAGAGCGCCATCCAGGCAGATCCTGTGAGGAGGACAGTTGAGATGAATGCAGATAAAAGTATGTGTGTGTGTGTGTACGGAAAACGAGAAACATTTTTTTTTTTTATTTTTTTAAAGGCAAAGGAACTATTATGTTTTACATAGTTGAACAATTTTACTGCTTTATTACTTCTAAACACACAAGACGATATTTTTACATATGCTTAAAACAAATTACTTTGATCATAGGGTATCATCCACTGTTCCAATATGAGATAATCTCGAGTAGTTTAGAATATAACAAGTTCATCAAAAGTGAATTACATTTTATATCAATATCATTTTCATATTTATTTTATCACGACAGCTTAACCTAGTGGTATTGTAGCCCCACTGCTGGACAGAGGTTCGGGTTTCAATAATCTTGGGGGCATGAGTTGTATGAGTTATACACTAATTTTTAAGGCCATTTAGAAGAAAACAAAAAGATTCCCAAGCTTCAATAATGACTTCCAGAAGGACACGATTTATTTGTAACTGATTATATAAAGGGACAACTATGTTCCATTCTTCCGTAACTTTGGCATGCAAAAAAAAAAAAAAAAAAAAAAAAAA